ATTTAGTGTTAAAGCTTTGGAATGAAACATGCCAAATCTTCCGACAAATAATAATAATAAGCTAACATAGCATTAAAATTAAAGTAAACAAATATCAAAAAGTAATTAAAATTACATTGCACTTTGAGAATTTGTTGAAGTTGAGATCATCTAAACTGTTGTTCTAAATTATTGATCTAAATCATCTAGATCATTGATCTACTCACCTTTGACAGTAACGATGAAATTCTTGTATTCGGTTCTTTTGTATTTGCGGCTGATCTGTAGTTTATAGAGTCCAGAGTGAATTCTTCTGATGTTATTGATGCTGAGATCTCCAGTCTTCTCATCCAGCACCAGTTTGCTTCTGAATATCTCATCAAAACCATCATATGTTTTTTTACTGGTCGCTCCACTTATTTCAGCAATGAGATTGTTGTCTTCTTTATAGCACCACTGTATTTTATCATCTTTTTGTAGCTCAGTATCAGTCTCTAAAGTGACAGAATCTCCATCCGCCACTGACCTTTCTTCAACTGTCACAGCTGGACATAGAAATGTGTTCATGAGATCAAGCTTAAATTTGGTGCACTTATACTGTTTAACCCTTTTTTGAATGTGTAAATGCCAAGCACATTAAACAAGTGTGAGCATGTACAAAAAGAGCAGTGTAAGAAAGTACGTTTTTGGGTAAAATCATCTAATTACAATAGTAAGTAATGGACTCCTGCATTGATCTGAAGCATTAGTGTTAACCTAGATCTTAACGTGTTGTAAAACTGACAGTAAATTCCTTGTCCACACTAATACGTTTTCGTTAGAAAATTTATATTTTCTCTTTGTTTTAGCCTTCTGTCCACACTTTGACAGCATTTTTGTCAAGGAAAGTGGAGATTTTTTAAAACGCTCCCCCAAAGTGAATAAATTTGAAAACGCTGTTTTCGCATTGTAGTGTGGACTGTGAAAATGGAAGCCTTTGAAAACGATAGCACAGTCTTGTAATGTGACACATATTGTACCAATAGATATCTTTAAACCGGTATTGTGACTGTTCTGTGCTATTCACTTTCACATTATTGCTACAGATATGTTACACTGTACAGTACACTCTACATATCACAGTCCTGCAATAATGACAGAACATTTAGCTACTTGCAATTGCCGTTTACTCAAAACAAGAGGGCATTTGCATTTTAGACTAGCCATACAATCGTGAATGAGTGCAAACTGGACGCGTCAGTGAATGATGAGGTATTTTCCTAAATAAAATGAGCTCTCAGCTTTTTTGATGATTTAGGCATGCGGAGTAAAGCAAATTTAACATTTTCTGACGTTTCAGTGTGGATGAGAAACTATTGGAAAACATGTGGACAATGAGTGTTTTAAACTATTTCAAATTTTGTCATTTTAAAAGAAATTCAAGCAGGGCCGGTGTTGTGCCGAAATCTGCACCCCTGCCAGATTATGCATTATGAAATTGCTACCTGATTGCGTAATCCCAACCCCACCCCTAATCCTAACACCTCCCCCACACCTACTCCTAAACCTACCAATACTAGGGAATGCATAATCTGGCAGGGTGCAGAATTCGCCATGACACCGGAGTGGGACTAATTTTCAACCCTGAAGTTTAATGCCTTTAAACTCTTAAAGTATGATGCAATTTAAATTTTTTCTTTCTCTTTGGAGAGTTACACACTCTTGATGCATAAAGAAGATCTGTAAAGTTGCAAAGATTAAAGTCTCAAATCCAAAGAGATACTCTTTATAAAAGTTAAGAGTCAACCACTCCTACCTAAAACGGCTCGTTCTAACACGCCTATACCTAAAACGGCTCGTTCTAACACTCATTCTATATCACTATGTTGGAAGATTTGCATAACGCCGCCGTAACTTTAATTCTTGCTGTTGCCGCCGCTGCCATGTTGTAGAGATGCTGTGTGTTTCGTTGTGAAAGCTAAATTACTTTGTTTGGCCTTCCAAAAGAGGACACAACTAGAAATCAGAGGTTAAGTTGTATTTACAACACTGTTCCAGAACAGTTCAACCCAAATATTCAGATGTGTGCTGCGCATTTTATGGAGGATGAGGACTGTTTCCTGTACTTTGCAAGGACAGTCTGGTGCTTCTGACTCACAGCCAGAGGCGGACAGTAACTAAGTACATTTACTTGAGTATTGTACTTAAGTACACTTTTTGAGTATCAGTACTTTACTTGAGTATTATTTTTTCTGGGAACTTATGACTTTAACTTCACTACATTTGAAAGACAAATATTATACTTTTCACTCCTCTACATTTCTATCAATGTCCTCGAAGTAGAAAGTCGTTATTATGTAGCAGCTTTGAAAGTCAGTGGGTGATTTTATTTCTTCTCTAAAACATGACTTTCTTTTTTTCAGACAGTTTATCAGTAATCACTCTTGTGGGGCTACATGAAGTGATTTCCCAGCATTTTTTGAACATTGACCAGTTCCAAATGTGATATTTATTTACAACAATTCAATAATAAGAAGTTAATATTGTGGTATATATTAGACACAATATTGTCTGATTTTGCTAAATTGTGTAGGTGAAAATATTACCTATAAAGCCACAGAAGAACTGTTGTGCGTCTCCTAATAAAACACAAAAGGTGTTTGACTGAAGCAGCACTACAGACCATTCTGTGTGTGACATCAAAGTACAGCGAGAGCGATTAAACAGCTTTTAAAATGTTTGTTTTGATGTCAAATACGTCTTGCTGTTTTGCTTTTTTGTTAAAGCAGTGTTGCTGTTGTAAAGTTATACAGCTGCAGTTGTGTTGCTGGGTTTTAAAGCAAGTTTGATTTTTTTATTTTCTTCCTTATCCGTCTGTATTTACAGCAATTTCGTTGTCCACTCTGTTCAAATGTGAATGAATGGCTACACATAGATATGTCCAGAGCTGTGTGAGATCCCTACCATCCTGCTTTTGTGGGGGTGGGTAGGGGTGTTAAAAAAATTGTTTTTCCTATAGGTTTTTAACATTCTAAAAGCTCTTTATTCCAAAGATACTACAAGCTAGTCAGTGTATTCAGTAGGTGTAATGTATTGTAAGTTCTTCAGAAGTATTGCAAGTACTACGTACAACAATAAAACAGTGCATTGACATAAAAAAGGAAATGTACTTTTGGTACTTAAGTACTTTTAAAAGCAAGTACTTCTGTACTTTTACTT